GAGCCTCTATTGCGGGACGACATAGGTTGGAAACAAACGTCGTGGTTCGGGTTCAGTCGGTTGCACATCCCGCACGCGGCGTTCGGCGTTCGGCGTTCGGCGCGGCCCGACCAGTCCCGTTGATGCTCGAAGCCACCCCGCGCCTCTTGCGCACAGCGACGAGGACCTCTTCATCCCATGTTGCGGAGACCCTTCTCCGCGCTCCGCGAACCTTTGTGATATTCGATGGCTTTCCGGTCACTTTCTCGCGTTTCATAGCGCCCACCGGCGCTGGGCGCTGTTCGGAGCCCGCAACCTAAGCTTCCCACTGGACAATGTGATCGGTGCCCTCCTGCCGTCCACCCTCCGAAGAGGAGACTTCTTGTGAGCACGTGCTCTGTGTTCAACATCTGATTCATCGTGATCTGGCCTCGTCTTCTGCGTTTCAACATCATGGCGGGCAGGGATACTATCCTCAACGCGCTACAAGTCGCAGCTATCGCTACCATCCTGAAGACCGAGTTCGAGCCCGCTGTGCAGAGGCTTGATCCCACCTTTTCCGGGGGGTTTTCTGCCGTTCACACCTGGGTATATCAGCGAAAGGATAAGATTTTCCTTGAGGACTCGTTCTTCAAGGAGAAGCGACATGATCCACGCGTTGAAGGGGTTCGTCTCTTCGACTCTCTTCCTTGATCTGTGTGACCAAGCATCTCGTCAGGCGGTAGTGACCAAGTTCCGCAACTATTATCGGAAGTTGCGCCTGGCGAACCCTGCAAGGCCGCCTGCGACCGGCTCGCTCGTTGACGTGCTTGTCCCCCCGGCAACAGCCCTACAATTGTACGAGGATGACGTTCAAGATCTCCTACGCGCGCAGGTGCCGGGGCAAGATAATGATGCATATCAGACGCGTCTGAAGGACATGTGGTTAGGCCTGCATGACGATATGCGCGCGCAGTACGATCGCAATGTCAAGATTCCTGCGCTCTCTGCGACCGTGTGCGTTCATAGCGCTTCTTCCTGGCGACTGTGTTCTAATACTCACTACAGCAATCGTAAGACGCTCACGACCAACCTGGGGACAGCACTGGACGTTCTCTGTCGGGATGCGTCGCTTGGAGGCATGATGGCCCTGTCGTTCTTCGCTTTCCGTGATAGCAATGGCGAAATCGATTTCATAAGGTACGCCAACAATCTTATTTCTCTGCGAGTAGGTTTGAAATGTACTGTGCTTAGGTGTGATGGGCGCCTCGACGATTTCACGGTTCAATTCGGCGCCGAAGATAAGGAAAAGAATGCTATCGAAACTTTTCGTCGTGCATGGCGCAACTATGCTGACACGATCATCCCCTGTATGACTTTCCTCTTCGTCTGTTCGATTAGAGGCGTCACTCACTGTTTTCGCAGCTCATACACCTCGGTCTTCAACGTCTTCTCCCCTTCAGACGGTCATCATCCCGCGCAATAGCCAAAACATTCCCGTCTTTCCTTCAATGGATTTGAGGACCGTCACCCCTTTCGCGCTGAAAAGCGCAATGTTACAGTATATGGAAGCAGCATGGAGTACGTTGAGCACCTTCTCTTTCCGTCAACATTGGTTTGACTCGTTCATAGTCCATTCACGAGGGCCTCTTTGTGCGATGCCATGGGGGGACATTGCCCAACATCCGGCTGATTTTTATGACACCGAGACCTACGACTTCATGTGCTTCGACCGGGCGGCGCTTGACGACCCGTCCCGTTCATTTCCACTCGCTGCAACGCTCATCGAACGCTGCGGCATAGATTCGAGAAGCCCATTCACGTTCATGTCCGACTCTACAAGTCGAACTCCCCATACATCAACTTCTTCGCGAGTTGCGGCAGTCCACGCGCAGGAGCAAGCTGATAGAGTGTGGGACGTAACTCGTGAGACCTCTGCTCCGTCCCGTGCATCGTTCTCAACCTCAGCGATTCCACCATCAGCGGATGCGATTGACAGTGATCTGGGGACATCTGCTACCGCAGTGCAGACCCTGACGTACTTCGCGCACAGCCACAAGCTGCCTCCATCTACCGAGGCGTATCACTCCGCTGGAGAAGCGACGTCTATGTTAGGCACTCCGTTCACCAATGGACATACAGGTGGCAAGCGTGCTCACGAGGAAGGTGGGCCCATCAATGCGCGACTTTGTCACGATGATCTACCTGCCAAGCACGGCGGGCGTCATTTGGCAACCAAGAGCGGCATCACGGGGCATCGAAGAACGAACGCGGTCATGAAGAAAGCTCCCATAAAGGGGGGGAACAAGAACAAGCCTCGCGGTCTCTTAAAGATGGCATGGGGTACGTTTTTGCGCGCTATGAAATTCAACCCACTGAACACCCTTTAGATCAGTCCCAACGAGCCGCGAAGTCGTGAAGGACTAACCCTGAGGATCAGCATATAGAGAGGAGCGATTGCAGGGGTCGGAGGCTGGCTTGATCGGGAATCCTTCGACATATGTCGAGAGAAAATTCACTCGCTGCCATCAGTGGTCCTGCGTCAAGGCATGGACATGGGTAAAGTGTTTACAAACGTACAACACCGTTATGTTCACCGTTATGTTGTTCAGTTGTAATCGTTCTCTATACTGGTTGTGTCTCAATTGCAAGATACAAGTCCTACGTCGACCGTGCAAAACTGTCTATGACTGTACCCGAGGCGCGCAGGCCACCCGTTGGCTTTACCCACGCGCACAAAACATTGTCGGCGGTTGATGTGAGTCTGTAAGTTGGTTGAGTCTTCGGGCCGCCGGGTGAAGCCCGATCCCTTCGCAATCATATCAGCGTAGAGAGTACCAATACTGCCTAAGCTTCCGTTGTTGGCCTCATATACACCTGAGTATCGCCATGATTGAGCTGTTTGCACCTCAGATGCATATCTCTTTAGCGTGAGAGATGTCATGTACGAACTGGCTGTCCCAAACTCATACGGGCGAGTGTGCACAATGGATGAAAGGCGGCGTGAATTTCGACATCATGGACCAAGACGTCGTAGAGCTGCGGACAGATGCGGAAGGGCCTGAATATTTCCACGCAGGTGCAACAGGATGATCTTACACAACCTCATAGTTGCTCTAGTCAACGAGCCTCCATTGCGAGACGACTGGCCGCTGAGACTGTAAAGGACCCGTGATCCAGGTCCATCAGCGTCGTCCGGCGTTCGGCGGGACCCGACGCCGGGTTCCGCTTACGCTCGAAGAACCTCCGCGCGTCTTGCTCGCAACCACGAGGATATGTCCATCCCGTCCCGCGGCCTAGACTCCTTCCCAGCTCTTGACAGCTCCAAGTATTCGCTCTCAAGCTTGGAGGTCGAAAGCGCGTGGGAAGGAATCTACTCGCGGCTCAGGAACGTCGTTTTTTTTCGTTTTATGGATCTCTATGATACCCACAGGTCCTGTCGATGTCTCTCATGTCGAGATGGCCTGGGGCCATCATCGATCATCTCGCGCGCCAAGTTCTGCGTCCTAGCTTTCGCATTGAGTGTTCCCAGTTTTTGATTCGCTCATCTGAAGCAATCTAAAGGCATTACATATCTCACGCACTAGATTGGGGCGCCAGAGCTAACTTGCAGCTTGTGGGTAACTTCCAGCTTGCCTCCGGTGAAAATGCCTGCGAACAGGTCGTTACATCTTTCATTCCTACCACCGATGGCCTTTGACTACGGGCAGGCACCCTGAGAAGATTGCACCCCGGCATGCACTGATGCGGTTGACACTCCAAAACCCTAGATCCACGGTCACTGTGCAGGCCATATTCTACTAACAGATGCACCGCTGGGAACCGTCCCGACGTTACATTCGCGCCAGTGTAGTCTCATCAGACTACTATGAGTCGGAATCAATGTGCCCGTCTGCTCTTGATCAAGCATCAGCGCTCGATGGTTTCAAAAGTGAGTCGATGAATACATACCTCTGTGGACAGACAAACATCATACCATAACGACTAGTCACCATCGCATGCCCTTAAAAGCCCGAACGTTCCTTATCATCACCAGCACGACCGCTGAGACTTGGTACAATGACTGATGCGTTGCTCGGCGCTCCTCCGGACCTCTCCCGAGCTTTGCAAGGCATAAGTCTTCTCGACGACCAACGACTTTCCGATACCGAGGGCGATCACCGAGAGACCCACTTTCGAGCCTATATGGTGCGCAATTCCCGTTCCTGCCCGCCTTGCCTCGCATTCATCAGCTACTAGGCCTCTGCGTTTGTATACGCTTGCGTGGATGAAGATTCCGATAATTGGAGCAATTATCATTTGTCTACGAGTGCGGAGCGGAGCTCTCTCGCTTCCGATAGCTCGCAAGCGCCGCGTATGTCTATCTGCGAGAGCGATGCGGGCGCAGAACTCCTCAACAAGGCTGTGCTCTCCGCCCTCCCCGGTGTATCCGATCTCCACACCCCGCCCTCCGCTCAAACCTCCGCCAGCGCGGACGCATGGAACTGCCCAGTGAATGGATGCATGCAGACCGTCCGCCCCTTCGACCTCACCCAGCAGCAGCGTGAACTCGTCGTGACGCTATCCGGGGATCCGGATGCAATGGTCATACAAGATAGCCGCGGCAGGGTCCGTCTCCGTCGTCGTGATCCTTGGATGTTTCTTCGCTATATCGATGCCATAGCTTGGGACCATCTATCTTGGCACCTGCACCGCGCACACATCACTTTCTACTACCCCCATCCGAGCAAGCCGTATAAGGTGCGCACAGACTGATATTTACATCCATGCGCTTCTGACTATACGTACAGGAATGCCCTGGATGGTGGTGGAGTGATGTCTTGTTGGCACGCGACCGCTCGCTCCAACTGGAAGTGACGGAACTGGAGGCTTCAGCAAAGCAGGACAGGCGCCAGTGGATAGTTACTAAGGCAATCGACTCCGCACAGCGCAAGGTTCAGCGTGCCTGCGCCCGCCTGACGCGCTGGCGTTACAACGCCTTGCACGCGCGGAGAGAACTTGTCTCGGACATGTTTAGTCTCGATCGCGGCTTGGTCGAGGTCGGCCGCGCATTACTGGCGTTGGTGCGCCAACAGGAATCTGACCCTGCCACAGCGGCGTACTCTGAGGAGATCGCGCACTATCGAGCTGTAGAGATGGAATGGACGGAGGAACAGTACATATGGTTCTGAGATCGTATCTACCCTAGGGCTGGGCCCAGCTACGTGAGCCGCGGTGGGCTGTAGAATTCCTCAGCCCAGACGGTGATTAGGAATGAGGCTTAGCTGGAGCAGTCGTGAATCGATCCTGCATAGAAGTCCGAATTGCACAGATGTCCGTTTGTAACGTGCAGCGTGACGGGCGCAGATCAAGTCGTGTTCCCGTTACAAACAAGTTACTGTCCGCGCGATGAAGAACAACACGACGAAGGCGAAGCTGCCTCAGCTACTGGGCGGGTACAAGAGTTACACCAGTGAGAATCGGCAGTCGCTGGACATACCAAGGGGGACCTTATTGAAATCTAGACCGGCGCATTCAGCCCAGCCACCAAAAACGTCGTATGATAACTCCATGACCTGCCGAGACATTATCGTCATGTCATCGAGCTGGGTAGATACGTCGTACGTTTGCAAAGAACCTATGCGACAAGCATATCTT